GATCATATTAAGAAGAAGACTTGTTTGTAGTACATGGAAGGGACTATGTCGATTAAACTGATGTACAACCGCCATGACTCAAATTAGTTCATATTTTTAAATATGAAATTATGATGAACCCAATGTATAAAATGATTTAGCCATTTTAATGCGCATTATGTTAATTTAATTAATTTATTTATTTGTCCGTTGTGAGAAATGTCACATGAGTCAAGTGGGAGAATGTAAGATAATTATGTCTCATGTGGGAAATATGTAATATATAAAGGGACTAATAAATAAATAATTAAATAATTAAAGACTAAATCATAAATGTGTTTAATGGAACATTTATGAGAATAATTGTTATTTGATGAAAATAACAATCTTTAGGGATGATAAATATCCACTAATGTGAGACAAGGTCCACACCCCTGACAGAAAGTATTCTCTCAAACCCTAGCCATCACGAAAGATAGAGAGAGTAGAAAGAAAAGTCAAAGGGAGTGAAATCTTGGTTCTCTTCAAGAAGATCAAAGCACTCTAAAGATCAAAGGAGTTTTCTACTATGGAGAAAGGTACACACTTTCTTATTATTATTATGTGAGTATCATGAATTTCAAAGATCCTTTAATTTTTCTATAATTGATGTATTAGAAAATCATAGAACTTACATCTTAGACATTATATTAATTCTATTTTGAAAAAATATTATATTGTAACCCTTCTAAGGAATGTTACTACAAAAGTTAAAAAGGTAAGTAGTTAGTGAAATTTCATAAAATCTCCCGACATAATTTCATAAAAAGGTACGTGTTGACATAATTTATTCTAAAATAATTAAGGGTCATAAAGTGAGTCACGTTTGATGGACTGTTCTATTGGCCCGCAAAAAATTGATAGGATAGGTTGGACATTTCTGAGCGTCAACTCACATGGTCCATCCTACCTAGCCTACCAACCTATTGGGCCAAATGGTAGGTTGGTGCAAGTTGAATCACCGGCTCCTTTAACTAACCATTATTTTTGTATTTATTTTGTACGTAACTTTTGGTATGTGTCGCTTTGTATTGTGATATAGTCTTATTATTGAATGACTATTAATACTTGTATTATAGTTCTTAAGAACTATTATTATTTTGTGTTGTTGAAAGATTATTAGTAGTAATCTTGATTAAAAATATTTTTTTTAATAAATTATAATTTATTATTTTTTTGTTGTAGTCTTGAAATTGAAGGAAAAATTTATCCCATAAGTCCTTTTATATTAAACTTATCAATTGGTGTTAAAAATTTAATGGAAAAATAATATAAAAAATTTCCAAGTCAAGATTTTAGTCCTGTTTTAGCAAGCAAACCAGCCCCCACCCCATTTTTGGCAGGCTAGTGGTGGGCAGGCCAAAATAGGTCAAGTTATAACAATCCATCATGATTTTTACGACTGATCGATCATTGTAGGGTTATTATTAAAACTAACTACGTAAATGAGACTATTTTGAAACTATTTACGCCTTTGGGACAGTTTACTACAGTGTCGTTATGGCCCATAACGACATTAGTGTTACATGTATTTTTTTTAGAACGGCTTGAATTTAGTCACGTAGAAATCGCTACCGGCTGTAACGATTTTAATAGTATCGTTATCAGCTGTTTCAACATCTAAAATGACTCAATTTTTTAAAAAATAATTTTTTCATAGAAATAAAAAAATATTTTAAAATATATTTATTTTAAGAGTTGATCTTTTAAAATTTTAATAATTTACAAAAAAAATATTTTTTAAAAATAACCCAAAATAGTTCAATTAACCAAAAATAAATTACTAGTATATTTTAAGATAAATTTAAATAAAAATAATTAAAATTTTAAAAATACTCCGTTTTTATAAAGAAAAACTTTTAAAAAACTGGAAAAAAAATGTTGAAAAAAAAATATTAAAAAAATACTTAAAAAATAAAAATAAGTAATATGAAAAAAATGGTCGTTATTAATAGTATTTAATAAATAAATTTAAATAAAAATAATTAACATTAAAAAAATTCCATTATTATAAAGTTTTTAAAAAAATGAAAAAAAAATTAAAAAAAAAAGGTGTTAAAAAAATGAAAAAAAAAGTTGAGTCACAGAAGAAAAACAAAAAAAAAATTACAAAATTTTAAAAATACTAAAAAAAAATGTTAAAATACATCTGGAAAAGAAAAAAAAAGGAAAAATATAAAAGAAAAAAATAAGTGAAGGAAAAAATGTAAAAAAACGCAAAAGAAAAAAATTAAAAACAAAATAAAAAAAATTAAAAAATTGATAAAATAAATTTTGAGAAAGAAAAAAAATCAAGGTCGTTGTGAGCTACAGTGACTTCTTTGACTATATGACCTCAATGATCCAAAAAATAACAAAAATTTTGAAACAAACAAAAAAAAAAAAAGCAATCGCTATGAGCTATAGGATTTGACTAATAAAAAAAGTGAAAAATTAAAATTAAAATAAAAAACTGAGGTCACTATGGCCATAGAGATTCTAGGTAGTCCAAAAAAGAAAGTACTTCTCCTGTCTTCATACATGCTCGCCACGTATCATTTTTACTGCAAAAACACCTAATAGGAATTCGAAAAATTACCACCTATATAACCCAGTTATCTTCATGGTCACCCCTTCCCCCACATTTGTCTCCAGGTATGCAATTTTTTTTTAATTTTTCAGTTGTCATAATTTTTTTTTATTAGTTAATATAATTATAAATTTTTAGTTTAATTATTAATTTTATTATATTTTTTGTTATTTAATTTAATTTCCTTGTAACATTTATATTTTTTTTTTATTTTTTCAGGTTATTACTATTTTATTTTGATTTCTTCATGTCAGGTATTTTTTATTTTACGTAAATGTTTAGTTATTCATAATAAATATTTAATGTTTGAAAAAAAATTGTGAGTTATTCATGTCAGATATTTTTTTTATTTTTTTAAAACGTTTATGTGAGGAAATTTGAGACACTATTAAAGTTAGTTAGCAGATTTTTCGGTTAAAAAAAATGTTTGGTCCAGTTAAACGCTTTTGTGGCACCTATAGATCTCACCTATGCTTTAATACAGCCACATGTTGCAGGTTGGCAAGAAGTGTATAGACATCACACTTGTGAGTTCCTTGTAATAACGTTTCTTATTGATTAAAGAAAATGCAAAACATATGAAATTAATAAAAAAAAATATAAAAAAAATATTAAAAAAAACGCTGTAATTTGCATTGGAATTTTGAAGAAAGTTACAATTTGCTGATATTCATAGTGTAAAAGTTTATCATGTTGTGAAAGGGACTCCATCCATTTCTCTTGAAAGCAGAAAAGTTTTTCTTTTCTTTTCTTTTTTTCTTTTTTTTGCTTGTAAGGCCCCGATCTTGGAACTGAGAAATATATACCAAGAAAGATTTAAAATTAAACTTCTGGGGAAGGAAAATTAGCTATAACATATCAAGCTTATCCTGTTCCTTTCTTTATATTCCAAGCACATGGTTAAATCTAAAACTATTATTTGGGACTGGATTTCTTCACCACATATTGTAAATGAACTAAAGCAAAAATCTAGAATATCATTTGGAAATGGATTCGTTCACCCCACAATACATCAAGAATGACATGTAGTACAGTAGAATAGCAATTTCCCACTTCCTATGATTGCTATGAAGACACTTTTCACACCACATAGCTATATTGTATTAAAAGCAATGTATAATTATTATAGACAAAACATAATATCTTATAATATAAATCAAGGATTAACACACGTTTAACTTTGTTAACAATTATCATCCTCAGGAATAACCCAGTAATTGAACTTAACCGAATTACAAAAAGTTCTTGTGTTTTGTGAGACCCAAAAAGTAAAGTCAAGAGGGATGGCAAGAAGATGGTCCTTTTACATGGGGCACTTGTGGTGATCATAGCCCTCGAATTCAATTATGTGGGCTTACTCACGCTGTTCAAAGAAGCCACACTGCAAGGGATGAACAACCATGTTTTTGTTGCCTATTCTTATGCTGTTTCTACCACTACTTTTTCCTATCACTTTTCTCAACTGAAGGTTCTCAATTTCCTATAATCACAAACATACTTATATCTAACTGAGCTTTTACCCTCGAATGATTTCTTCATGTAATGTTTTTCATGTCCCTTTGCAGATCAAGAGTGGTTCCTCCACTTAGTTTCTCCATAATATCCAAAATGATTCTTCTTGGGGTGATAGGGTAAAGGCACTTCACTATTATAACCACACTTATAACTGTTTTCTCAGTCAGTGTTGCTGTTAATAATTGTGGTCCAAGGAACAGTCTTATACTTCTGAAACCTTTTGTTTCTTGTTTTACATCTCGATGTCTATGTTGCAGAACTTTATCTCAGATAATGGGATATGTTGGCATTGGCTACAGTTCTCCAACACTTTCTTCATCAATTGCCAATCTGGGGCCTGCTTTCGCTTTCATGCTTGCAGTCATTTTCAGGTTAACTTTTTTCTACTCGAGTATATCATATTATGTGCAACAAATCTAAAAAAACATATTAAAACATATGCTACATACTTCTCTAGCAGGCAATGATAAACTAAAACAAGCACACTTGATAGTGCTCAAAAGAGGCATGAAAAACTTAGAACTCCACCACTTTATTCAATATTTTCATATTAATGCCATGTGCCAATGAGTCAAGGTTTCAATTTGGTTGGGAGTTACAAAAACTGATAAAGGAAAAGTTAACTAAGTATGAATCAAGATGCTTATTAGTTATTACTATTCACTATCAATATTAGAGTTCATGTATATTATATTCTAGAAGTTGCAACTAGGCAATTGTTTGTTTCCAATTCTTCCATATATAGTAATTAAGTATAAGTAATGCGGTACTAGATACTAGATTTTAAACTACTGGTATCATAGAGTGCTTAGATATTAACCACCATGAATAAATATCTCAATCTATCCACTTATTTTGTTTTCTCTTATCCTCTATAAGGATGGAATAAATAGCTACAAAAAGTAGTAGTCAAGCTGAGGTAATGGGAAGCATAATATCACTAACAGGTGCATTAATTGTATTGACTTTGTACAAAGGTCCATCAATCATCAAAGGCAAGGCTCATTCCCATCTTTCCTTATCAGTTCAGCAACCAATTAGCTTTCTTAGATATGAGATGCAAATTGGGCCACTGCAGGCATTCTGCTGACAGCTGAATATTTACTAATTTCATAATTTTTCATCTTACAGGTAGGGTTTGGATTCTAAAAAATTAGAGTTATTCTTCAGAAATTAAACTTCATAATTGATAACCTTTGATGATTTCATCAACAGTGTAGAATTTTATAAATAAAGTAAAGCTGTACAAGCAAAATCTCATTTCATATTTTTAAAAAATATTAAAAAATATCACATTGTAATTAATTCCTATATTCATTTCACAGGTGGATATACTAAAAGTGTTCCCGGATGAAGTAACACTGATCTTCTTTTGCACTAGGACTGCCACTGTCATATATACACTTGTAGCTTTATTTGTGGTGCCAAACGCAAGTGCTTGGAAAATAGGATTAGAGATTTCATTAGTCTTCATTGTTTGGTCTGTAAGAAATACCATTCTAACTTTCCAACTACTACTTCATTTTGGCAAAAACAAGTACATTTTTAAAGCAAGTAAAGTTTATTGACGACATTGTTTTTAGGGAACATTTCAAGAAGTTATGGGCAATATAGTTTCCACCTGCGTACTACGCTTAAAGGACCCTGTCTATGTAACATCATTCACGCCATTCACTGTTGTTATTGTTGTTGCCATGGGTATTATGTTCCTTGGTGATACTTTTCACCTAGGAAGGTATGGCTTATACAATTTTTGCATTTTATTCTTTCTTATAGAATATAAATAAATCATTTTTCTTGTCCAGTTGTGACTTTGATTTCAATGTTTATTTCAACTAGGTAATGTATAAATGTTAGTGACACTTTCTCTAAAAATTATAAATTTTAATATGTTCTGTCATTAAATGAGGAAAGATTCGTTAAATAAGCTGTGAGATTTACAAAATAAAAATTATTTTCAATAAATTTCACTTAATAATAATAAAAACAAAAAGGTGTTAGAAAGTGTTGTTAGCATCTTTTTTGAACATTTTTATGATATTAGTAGGAAGTATGTACTAATTTTGTCATTGGTATGAAATACTCCTTCTATTTTTTTTTTGTTTGACGTTTAAAGTTTGTGTACAGGAATTAAAAAAATATTGATATTTTAGTTTTTCAAAGTATTTATTACTTATTTTCTTATTATACCTTTTAGGTGGTTGGAAAACAAATAGATACATTAAAAATGAATAAACACATTATTCAGTAAACACACATTAATTATTAAGGATAAAAATAAAAAAAAATTAATAAGTCATTAATTTTAAAAAAATGACAATAAAAAATATATAAAAAAAATAGTGTCAAAATGACTATGGAAAAAAAAAATAGAAAGAGTATATATTAACATGAAATATATACAGAATTTTTATTAATCATTAAATAGACAATAATAATTGATATGAAGATTTTTAATATATCATTATTTTTTTGTTCAGTAATCATAAATATGTCATGTCCTATTTACCATTTCAATCATAAAAGAAATATACTAATTTTATCCCAACTAATTTATTCATATGAACTTGGATAGCTATATTTAGTAAAATCCTTTTTCTTGCCACATTTTTTCTATCCGTAAAAGTTGAACTTAATCTTTAAAGATTCAAACTCTAACTCAGTTGCACAAACAAAAACATATTGGTAGATAATATAATTAACAGCTCTTTTTAAGTTCAAAACAGTCACGCAATCAATTAATTATTGTACAAGAAGAAACAATATTGTTATACAAAAAAGAACCTGTACAATTCCATGATATAATTTGGTAAAAGGTTGATTGTTTTGTGCATTTTGCAGTTACAATAATATCAATTGGCTTTTATGCTGTGTTGTGGAGCAAAGCAACAGAGGAGACAGAGGAAGGTGCTGGTAGCCTGGAGTCACCCGCGACTGAGAATGTCCCTTTATTGCAAAGCTATGAAAGTGAAAGTTCTGAAAAGAAAACAGATGGAAATGTTTAAAAGACTAGTAAAAACGCTTCACCCATTTTAAAATCATAACAAAATATAAGAACAACAAACCCTAAACCCTAAAACAATTATAAGCCTCATCTTGAATAAAATAAATAAAAATAATTTAATACAATTAAATTTTTTTTTTGGATTCCATGATCACACATGGGAAGGGCAAATTAGAGGATTTGCCCTACAACGGGCCTTCAAAGCCTATTCTAATGGTGAGCCCACCACTTCTTGTTTACTTCTTTAAAAGTGTAAAGAACACTTTAATATATAAACACTCAAAGTTTACTAGGTCTAAATAATGTGAGACTTCTTTTAAAATACACTCTATATATGCAACAATGAGTATGTGATGATACATAGCATGTTGTCCCTGGAGGTCACCTCCACCGAAGGATCCCTTTGAAGAACAAGAATTATATATAGAGGGTATAGAAAACTTAAAACAAATCTCTTGAGGGGTCACATATATACCCTTTACGTACATACAATATACATGTATTATGCAAAACTATACACAAAATAATCCTATTGCCAGTCAACACTTCTATACTACTAAAATTGCATAAGAGTAGTGTCACCAGAAAGTCCAATCATCTCCAACATGACCCTACAACATCCAGACAAGTAAAACTTGTTAATCCTATCCTACTCTCATACCAAAAACATTTCAGTTCCAACTATAAGAAGAAAAAAAGGGTAAGCTTGTGAAAAGAATCAACATACAATAACAACATTAAGCAATAACTTAGACAACTTAAACAACAACATTCATTTACCATGCAACTTCAACTTATCATTATATCACACATACCACTTGTCACACAATTCAACTAATCAACTTCAACTCAATCAACATGCTCAACATAAACAAAAATAAACATCTAACATGTCATCATGTATATCAATTAAGGAGATCTCCTATAATAGAGGTGAATAATTTAAGTAGTTAGACCTTATCAAATCAAAGCACCTGACCTATTGCAACCAGGTCAAATATTGACAACTTTAGATCTCTCAGAAAACTTATTTAACAACTTAATTTTATTTCTTAGGTGTCTTCACTTGAATTAGGAAGTCTAGTACTACTGTCAAGGTAGAATAACTTGGGTATGAATCTATCACGACATTAACTTGTAACACTAAGCCTCTTATGAAATTAGCCCATTGATTATCCTTTAAATATAATGTCCTTCCAATACTCAGTTAGGGACTAAGTCCCTAATCTTGTACTTTACTTGGTTGTTCATTTTATACACATATGCTTTGATTGCACACATATGATTCCACATAAAACCTAGGGGGATAACTTAAAATAACTACCAATTTAGAAGCCAGCTTACTCACTTAAGGGTTCTCAATTAGGCTTTCAAAGCATTACAACTTATATCCATACAATAAGATATTTTAATTTCTAAAACATCTTTTACTCTCCTCTAGTTTTTATGTATCTCAACAAAGATATGTATATACACCACACGCCTAACAACTTAGCATCTTAATCAATAGTAGCATCATACAACTTCATAACTTAATCATCTATCAACTTACAACTTAACAACATAAACATCATTATCTAGTATATAAACTTGAAACATAACGAGCTATCATCTTTGTCATACAACTTAGTCATCATCTTTCAATCATGAAACAACTTAAACATCACATTAAAATCATGCAACTCATGCTTAGTACTATCCCTTTGGAGCCCGATGCCATTGAGGTAGGGGGCTTCCTATCTCGCCCATGCTTGATGGAAAACTACCTATGCTCACTGTGATTAAGGCAAAGAGCCTCCCACTCTCTCGCATCTAGCATCACGAAAATCCATGTTGACCCCAATAAGGCAGAGGGAATCTACTTGATTCACCCTCGATGTCATTCCATCGGCATTTGATGTCAATCTAGGTAGGGACAATTTTCTCTCCTTGTATTTGGCGCCATTCAAATCATGCCTAACAGAATTTCAACTTGAGACAATCCTCTCTCCTCATGTCTGATGCTACCAATCCTATAATTGATGTGAACAAGACAAGGGTCCCATGGTTGAAACCATGCCCAGTGCGATACTAGTTTTTGCACTTATGTAGAAACTAGATTGCTCAATCTACTTGAAACTTAATAGAAATTCAACATGCATTGCAATATACAACATATAAACACCATGAAGTACTCCTTTTTATCAACAAAAACAACATGCATTCATCATGGATCAAGAATCAACATATTCAACTCATAACAACTTCAAGAGAAACCTTGACTTCATAAATCATCATCTTATGGATTTTCATCAAAACAAAAAAGTATTTTTTATAAAATTAAACAAAGAACATACCACACTGTATTATAACACCAATATAATTTGAAACATACCTTACAATGACAGTAATAATAAAAATCAACAACAACAAAAGCATAGCAAAGTTAAAAAAACATAAAACAATGTCTAATACTTTAAGTAAAATATTATTAAAATCTGTTTTATTATTATTTTGATTAAGAGTGAAAAAACAAATGAAAGGATAAGATTAAAAAAGATATTAAATTAGTTTTAAAAATCAGTTAATGTTATTTATTATTATTCCTCTCATATAATAAATATACTAAAAAGAGATATTAGATAATAAATTTTAATAATTGTTAAAGTGTATCTTAGAACATGTATTAAAAAAATTGATTTATTTTTTATTGCTTTAAAATAGACTTATACTTTCATTAATTAATTAATTAATTATATATATATATATAT